CGTCGGGGTTCGCGAAGGAAGCTGATCGCAGCCTCCCACAGCGGATGCTGAAAAAATCGGGGCGCCCATGAATCAGAGCTGACACCCCGCGCCTCGCGACAAGTAGAAGGTTAGTAGAACGCCCAAGGGCGTCGAGGGGCGAAGCGTGATAGGACTCGTGAGTTGGACTTTAGAGCTGCGGAGCAGTAGGCAGCTTGCCTGTCCCAACCACCTGGTTTCTGTCCTCACACTAGGGTTAGGGCTTCACCCTTTTTACTTGGGCTCCTGAAACTGAAGCGTTAACCTTACTTGTGCAAACACCCATCTCTGTCATCATGCTCCATCAGACGTGCAGCCTCCCCCAAGCCCCCAGCGCAACGCACGTTTTGCTGGGTGGACCTGCTGCGCGAGGCCATGCCGGCAGCGCTTGTAGCTGCTACATGCCCCGGAATTCTGGGCAAGTGAAACTGCCGTGGCGTGCGGAAAACATGACACTTCTGTCATGGCACGGCCACCCGGGACCTCTGTAAGAACTGCGGATGCACGAAGACCTGGGGGGGGGGTGCGCACTGCAGGGCTGCAGGCAAGAGCGGGCTGTGCATTTCGGGGCTTCTTGGGGACTGAGGGTTTCGGGTTTCAGGGTTTACAAACCCTAAACCCTAAACCCTAAACCCCAAACCCTAGGGCTGAGGGGCTGGGGGTTTTAGGCCTTTCAAGGGTTACCTGAGAAGCTGGCCGCATCGGCCACTGACAGCGGCTCCTGCGACGTGGGCACCTCTTTGAACTCCTGCAAATTTAGGGTTTAGGGTGGAGGGTGTAGGGTTTAGGGTTTAGGGTTTAGGGTGAGAGCGGGAACTGCAAAGAAGCTCGCATAGAGCCGAGCTGAGGGCTCTTAGGGCTTACGAAAGTTCAAGGCTTTAGGGCTTCAGGGGGTCGAGGGGCTTCGGATGCAGGCTTTAAGGGGTGTTTTGGGCGTTTAGGGGGTTTGCAAGGTCTGCCGATGTTGAAACACCAGCTCATGTGAAAGTTGATGCCATTCGCCAACCAACAAGGACCCCAAGAGCCCCAAGTGCCCCACACCCCTTCACTCAGCAACATACCTCAAATCATGATAAGGATCCCTCCAGACATGAAGGCATGCTCCGGACCCCCTAAAGCCTAAACCCGAAACCCTCAAACCCATGGGTTCCCCTGCCACCCCCTCTATACTACCCCCCCTAGCTTCCCCCCTTTCTAACCTTAATAACCTTAATTCGGCTTAATTATCTAAATAGCCGGAACCCAGGGGGTGGTGTTAGGAGAGCGCGAGTTCCCCTGCCACCCCCCTCTATACTACCCCCCCTAGCTTCCCCCCTGCCTAACCTTAATAACCTTAATTAGGCTTAATTATCTAAATAGCCGGAATTATGGGGGGAACCTAGGGGGGGTGTTAGGAGAGTGCGCAAAAAAGAGGCCTGCGGATATTCAAGGTATCCCCCCCCCTCCCCCCTCCCCCCCCCCCTTGACCCAACAAACCCCCCCCCCCCCCCCCCCCCCCCCCCCCCCCATGCTCAATTCCACCTTTCCTCTGCCATTTTTGGTAGGATTCTGCAGCGGGTGCTGCAAGGGTAGCGATGATTGGGCTCACAAAGCAAAGGGGATGCCACAATCGTCGATCATGAAGGAAGGGCCCAAAGCCCTGTCACGCCTTTTCACGAGCACAGCGCTCGATCCGTGGCACAGGTTATCAGGACTCGAAAAGGGGCCCCTTTAAGCCTATACATTGCAGGGCATTCGAATGTTGCTGACATCACTCCTCAAGCATACAAGTTGCATCACCCCCAAAAACGTTCAGCAACACTTCGAGTGCCGAAATGTCGGGGCCGTTTCGCAAATGTTGATCTACAGTATCGATGGCACATCTTCCTTGCTTCTTGCCCTTCTTGGCTGAAGTGAAGGATGGGTCGAAGCGAATGCTCCAGTGCCCGCTGCGAAGGAACTTCAAAAGTCCTAGTCTTGCCTCAAGCTTGCGCTTAGTCAGTGCATCAGCCAAGTCGTAGTCTGAGGCCAACCAACGAAGTTCACATCCGGCTCGGCGGAGGTTATCTCTCAGCTGGAACGCCTGGAGAGCGGCACGCATGTTGCTCAAGCCCAACAACGGGCTCTCATTCACTTCCACAGCATCATAGCCACCACGGGAATCCGTGCACAGGATCCCTTTGACTTGCAGGATCTGATCTTCCACCACATTGACCAAGTCCCTGCGAAGAGCACGTTGTTCATCGCGGCCGGCAGCTCCATGAAGCTCGGTCCAAAGCAGCCGGGTCCTGAAGTTCTGATCCTCCGCCTCCAGGATCGACTGAACCTCAGCATCGTTGGAACCAATCGCCTTGCGACGCAATTTCCACGTGCGCCATGCTAGAAGAGACATGACCGTCACTTGGCCATCCACACTCTCTGGTCCCGCCACCAACGTCACCATGCCGCCAGTGGAGTCTCCCTTGGGCCTGTTGTTGTGAGCCTGGTCTCCCATCGAGATGAACACCAACTCACTCCAGTGTCGAGCCTGAGGAAATTTACGGAACACCAACTTGAAGGATTCCTGCCTGACTTCACCAATCATCTGCTGAATCTCTCTGGCAGTTTCCATTGTCCCATTGGTGACCAACTCCGTCAGCAGCAAGTTGCATCGTGCACACAGCTGGGGCTGTGACTGTATGGCCAGCCACTGAAGAGCGCCTAACGCCGCACGGCAGGCGTCTACATCACGCTTCTGCAGTGCTTCTCCACTGCGTAGTCGGTCCGTCTCGATGGCCACATCCTGGAGCGTCTCGATGTAATACGCCTGATCCACCACGATCTGGTCATAGCCATGCTCGTCCTTCACCGTCGACACGTCAGTGCCGGCGTGACGGTAGGCACCTCGCTTGGCCATGCCCCATTTGTAGGCCTTGTCCACGCTCTCCTTCACGGCTTTCCACTCGTCGCTATCGTCCCCGATGCGGTGGAAATCATCAACATGTCCGCCCATTGCACCAATGACCTTCGGGTGGTTGCCATCCATGACGGTTTTGGATAGCCATATCCACAAGCACCGTTCGCCAAGTACAGCCTGTCCACCAAGCTCTGTCAGCTTCTTGTGTAGCGACAACCAAAGACCACGGGGAGCCGTTGTGCTGCCATAGATGTTCCGAAGTATCCGCATGATTCCCTCCGAACCAACATCAAGGGCTTCTCGAAGCTCTTCCACACCTGTTGTCCACAACTCCTGATCGGCCTCTGTTGGCTTGGTCTGCAAAAACGCCGTCGCCAGGTCCAAGCCTTCCAGCATCCATTGGTGATGGGCCGCCATGGTGTACAGGAGGTTGCGTCCCAACGTGGACTGCACAGGGCTCGCCGTCTTGAAGGTGGGATCCAGAAGACTTGGGTGCTGGAAACCCAGTAGCACGATGCGCGCCTTAGCCTTTCTGGAGCCATCTCGTGAATGCAGGGTCTCCGAGTTCTGTTGGCTGTCTTGCAGTGCTTCAGCTCGATCTTCGGGCGGTACCAATTTCCAAGTCAAGACCCATCTTGCCTTGACTATCCGTTGGCTGTCGTATGCCTGCTTGATCTCGTCCTTGTTCAGGCACTTCCGAACCGCCTCATTCTTGATGAAGGAATCGACTTCTTTCGCCTTGGCTCGAGAGAATAGTGGTCGTTCATGGGCCGGTAACTTGCTCAACACGACCTCGCTGTCCCGCATCTTCTTGACCATGTATGCCACGGGGTTGCGCTGTAGTTGCTTCTGTTGCCGGTGAGACATGTCGCCACCGACGTCGAACTCAATGCGCATGAACTCCTCGGTGTCGTCCAGTGCCGCATAGAGGTCGTAGGTATTCTCTTCGTTCTGTTCCTCGGCGTACAAGTCGTCGACCCATGTCGGCTCACTTTGTCGTTGCTTCTTTTTGTCAGGAAGGTCGTAGTCATTCACGTCAGTGCTATGTTTTGTAGCCGCCGAAGTGGTAGTCGATGAACTAGCTGGAACTGATGGATCTGTAGCCGGAGTGGTAGTCGATGAACTAGCTGGAACTGACGGATCTGTAGTCGGAGCACGGTCCTCGTCCCCAGCGTCATCCACTCCACCTTCACGATGTAGTCGTTCTCGAACAGGTCGTTGCACATAGTCCCCAGCGCGAAAGGTCACCTTTCCAATGGCCCTCCTCTTGGGAACCACTGATGTCGACTCATCCGGATGCGGTGGTAGGTCAGGTACTTCCACATCGGCTTCTTGAGGAACCTGATCAGTGAGGTCGAAGTATTCCCTCTTTGGCATGATGTCCGCAAGTGATTTCCACGTGGTTGGGTCCTCGATGCCGGAGGTCTCGAACTGAAACCTTTCCACTTCCGTCGCAGGACGGACAGCATGGATCGAACATCTTAGCAGCTGGCTTCCGACAAGAACCCACACAATGTGGCGTCGATCATCATCGGCGTGTTGGTGGGGAAGTATCTCGCTGAACACCACTCTTCCAGGTCCAACCCAGTGTGGTCGTCCTGATTTCTTGAATCCTCCACGGGGCCCCTTGTATTGCTCCTGGGGCCAAACTCGTCGCCACACCTTCACCAGGTCCATCGGGGCATAGTTCCGGAGAGGCTGCCGTGAGGTTGTATTGGCTAGCTTTGTCAGAACACGATGAGCTCTTGTCCGGCGGGCAATCTCTTCTGCTCGTTGCCGGGCCGAAACCAATTGTACGTATTCTGTCTTCCGGTCGATGGCCTCATACGTGCGAAGGTCCTCATCGCTGACGCTGTAGTTGGTGCCAAAAGCCCACTGGTATGCGGAGTATCCAGCGGTGTATTCGGTCGAATTCAGCGCCGACGTGGCTAGCTGCATGACGATCATGGGGTCGAGCTCAAGGTTGTCCAAGGAAATCGCCGACGAAGTGTGCTTGACGTCTTGAACAGACGCCTCCGCCACACCATGTGCCCAAGCCTCCTTCTCGGCCACGTGATGCACCAGGATGTTCAAGTTGGACAAGAATTCGTGCACCTGTGCGGAGATGAAGCTTTTGGCTGCGTCCAGGAGCACTACGCGAGGCTTTGGAAACATCCCTAACCATCGCTCTGCAAAGGCCTTCATGAAGTCCGCACCCGTCTCAGCTCGCATTTCCAAGAGGGAGTATGAGCATAATGGCTGGACCATCCTTAACTTCGTCGCCACGTCCGTGAACAAGAGAAACTTCACCTTCACCTTGCGCCCTGGTGGAATCCACTCTCCTCCATCTACGGCCACGGCCTCCCAAGCCTTGTACTGCTCCCTCGTTGCCGCTGGTGGGATTTGTCCTGAGCTGGTGCCGCCGGGCCGAAGACTAGCGCAAGCAGGACACTTGTGATTCTTGGCGACGGATATCTTCCAGGATTCATGGCCAGCATCTGCAATGATCTTGGCGAGGTTGCGGTTCGTGGGGTGCCCTGCAGCTCGATGGAATTTGGCCACCTTGGACTCCCAGTTCTGGTACTCGTCCTTCGTCACACCATCGGGTAGCGGTTGGTCCTCAACTTCTGTATCAGTCGCCTGTGTAGCAGCATGACACCAGATGGCAGAGGACAGCTGTGGAAGAGGAAAACCAAGCTTCTGCAAGGTGTCGATGTCTGCCTTCTCGAGTGGCGTCGTCGTTCTCGTGGTGAAGGCTGCCACTGCTATGCGGTAGCCCGACCAGGATTCAGTGGCATGCCAAACATGAGGTGAGAACTCCACCACTTGATCCCTCGTTTCTCGGACATGACCGTACCACATGGTGCCGTCCGATCCTCGACGACGATTCGGTGTTTTGCCGCACTGGTCTGGTCCGCGTAGCCACAACCCACCACCGTCGTAGGAGCCAAGGCACACCAGGTAGTTGTTGCTGTTCCTGGCGTTGTTAAGATCACGGTGTGGTAGGGCACGCGTATTGTAGCTCACCATCAGACTCGTCCATGTGCCATGAGGAATGTGTTGTCGGAGGAATTGGTTCAGGTACTTGGTTGCCGCTGGATATCGCTGGCTGTGGTTTGTCACCCCACTGAAGCCGCCATAGACATAGCTGCCGTACATGTGGGCCGACACACCACCTTGGATGCCCTTTTGTCGAGCATGTCCGATGGTACCACCCCTCGTTGGCATCTGAAGTAGAAGTCGCTCACACGCTTTTCTCGAAAAATCTTGTCGTTGTAGTAGATCACGTGCTAACTCTTCAACCACTTGAATTGCCTCAAGGACAGCACCTCCTGCATCCATTTCTTCATCTCGTAGATCATCACTTGCATCCATTTCCTCCTCATCCTTCCGCTGCGCCAACATATGTAGGTGACGTGGAGGTACGGTTTGGTCACGCCAATGGCGTGTGATGGCCTGGCACAGGCGCCAGGGGTAGTATGAAGATCGGGCCGACTCGTTGCCCTCGATGCGGGTGTGCTGATGGTTTCCAGGACACACCTTTGCCCGAAATACCCGATGGAACTGCTCGTCCGTCGTCTTCACCAGCCACTTCTTCAAGATGAATGCTGACTCATCTTCACATCGAAGTCCGTAATTGCATCCATCAATCCGACAGTGAAGCCAGGGAATGGCCTGTTGGTCCATGAACTCGGCCAGATCTTCCAGAGGTCGTTGCTTCCAACCAAAGCATGGATGAGGCCACTCGAAGTAGATGAGGAGGCCCGGGTCGTCGTAAAGGGCTTCCTTGAGGAACTTGTTGACCTCCCACAGCATGCGTCTCTCCTTGCGTCTTGCCGCTTCTAGTTCTTCAGGTCGATGGGCATAGTTCAGGGAGGTCCAACTGCACCATTTCGTACAAGGTAAGGAGATCCACAATCTCTTAGGCCGTCGTTGAAGGCGAAGTTCGCGAAGCCTCTCCCACGTCTCCTTCTTGTAGAGGTCATAGCCGGCCTGTAGATTGATTCTTCTGGGATTGAGCCCGTGTTCCGTGGCCGATTCACTCAACCAACTGTGGGGGGCACACGCAATCTCCCAGAGTCCATCCCTGTCACCAAGGTGCAGATTCATGAGCATGCCAGCGGTCAGCGCTGTCATCATGGCCACCATCTTCATCACCTTCTTGCCCATGTACAACGGCATGTCCTTGGCCTTCACTGATCCATTCCCAGCTCGTACGCTGCATTGAGGGCCTGGTCGTTCGGGGCCATCTGCCAGCTGTCGTTGGAAGTATTGCTGGGAGAGCTCGTCGTTACCGGTCCCGTATGCGGTGTTGGCGATGCCGCCGTCGATGGAGTCACTGGCGTGGCCCTCGAGGTCATGTCCTTGTGCTGCAGAATCAAGTGCTTCAGCTGCTCCTCGGCATCGATCTTCTTCTGCATGGCCTTGCATATGTCTGCCGATGGTTTGCGACCCTTCATCAAGGGTTCGAGCTCCTGCAGCATCCTCCGCACCATCTCGGGGTTCTTTGCCGCCGCTGATTGCCCATGAGACCCTTCGCGAGGAAGATACTCCAGTCGTAGGTCGCATATGGCACAGTGGATCCATTGGCCGTGGGGATTCGACTTCGGGGTGTCCGCAATGTGGCGGTTGTAACACGGCCACTGATTGCTGGAGGCTCGAGGATCTCTCACGTCGCCTTGCACCCGGCGACTGGGATCGAGGGGCCGCGCCTTCGCCTTTGGCGTCTTGGATTTGATCTCGGCCACGAAGATCTGCTCGGTCGTCTGCGGCGAGGGGCGCGACATGACCGAGTGAACACGAAGAGGAAGTTGTCGGGGGGGCAGGAACTGCTGGCAGTCCGCACATTGCAGCCGAAGCGGCTGAGGATTCACGACCTTGTGCACGCTGATACAAGCTCCACATTCTACTTCTTGCAACCGACAACTCCTGTTCGTCCAACTCTCGATCACATGCAGTCATGTCAAGCCACAGAGTACCTAGTTCCAGGCACTGGGTTTCCACATGAGGATCTTCTTTGGGATGTGAAGCGTGTATCACAACGTGAGCTTGGCCATCACTGCAGACACATCCCTTGGTAAGATGTTGTACAATGTCGAGGACATAGTGGCCTTTCCGATTGGTACTCAACTGGTAGATTTCGGGTTCGGGATCCCTCGTGTTCATGGCAAGGCCTGTGGTGAAGTCTATCATCATGCCGACTCCAGTCTTGCCAAGGTAGTCCATGCCAATCAGGACGGGTACAAGGGAAGACTTATCAAGGTCATTCTGATAGTACTCCGCGGGGTTGGGCAACGTGTACAGGGCGAACTCTTGAGGCTTTCCGGATGCACGACTCTCTATTCTAACCCTGCATAGAGCCCTGCCCCAACGACCATTCCCAAACCGAAAGTATGGCCGCGCAGATTGGTCAAACTCGATCTTGGCTGACTTGTCACGTGTGAGAACGGCATCTATCAAGCCCTTCACCACCGCCTCTGGCGCTGCTGACGCCGTCGCACCACAGTCGATCATACCACAGTGGGGCTCCGTGCCCGCCGTTGTAGTAGATGCCGCGTCCAGGACGTTCGTCACCTCCAAGCCGCCCAAGAAGTACTCCGAGGCATACGCATTCACGGTCCGGTAGGGGTCCTTGCCCTTGCCCTTGTTCTTGCCCTTTGCCCACAGAGCATTCGTTTCCATCCACATTCCCTTCTTCGTCTTGCCTTTTCCCTTGCCCTTCATGTAGTTGATGTAGTGCTCGTCCACATCGATGTGGTAGCCACCCTTGCAGTAGCCCTTGCCTCGTCCGAGGCCCTTGGTGAAGGATGGGTGACGGCGATCAGGGCAGTCGCGAGCCATGTGACCACTGGCGCCACAATTGTAGCACTTCGCTGCTACTCCAGGACCGGCTGCTCCGAATCCACGGTCCTTCCGGAGTGCCTGCGTCGCACGTTGCGCTTCCGTCCAGGTTCTGGTGGCTTCCAACGCCAGTGCTTCCGCCACCTGTTCTGCTTGCGCTGCCTCCTTGATAGCCGGATTGTCGTCTGGCGACTCAGCTGCAAGTCCCTGAAGCGCACTTTCTCCAGGAGCTTCCCATTCGCCTTCCCACCATCCATCGTCGATGCCTGTGTAGTAGCCGTAGCCGCCATCATCCCACCAACCATCGTCCCACCAGGCATCCTGGTAGAAGAGCTCATCCGCCTCCTGGTGGTCGACGTAGTTCGCATGGAAGCCGGAGCCGCTGCCAGAGCCCTGGTGTCGGTAGCCCAGTAGTTGCTCATCCCAGAGTCCTTGCAAAGCAGCCGCGACGGTGCCATACTCCAGGCTGTTGCGGGTCGTTGACAGGATGTCCCGCTTCTCCTCGGCATTCAGTCCAGCAGCCTGCAACAATCGCCAGCCGCGCAACACCTCCATGATGAAGGAATCAGCAATGGAGAGCTCGTCGATGGCCTTCGCCGGCTTCGGCTCCTCCTCCGGGGCGATGGAGCCGACTTGCGATCCTCCACCATCACGTCGGCTTGGTGACGATCCTGTTGCAGCTGGTTGCCCTCCGGGAGTGGCACCTTCAGGTTCAGGTCGGCCGTCACCTTGCGGTTGATCGCCTTCTCCAGCAGGTCCTTCCTCGCCGGCGTCGTAGTCCTCGTCTCGCCAGCCCTCATCATCTTCCCACCAGCTCCATTCAGCTTCACGTCCTGTGGTTGGTGGTAACCCGTAGTCGCGAGTCTCTTGAGACACGCCAACCTTCTCTTCATGCAACCTGATGATTGCCTCCGAGAACTCCTCATGCACCAGCGTCTCTCTCACCAGGAAGTTCGACATCGACTCATGAGGATTGCGCTTGAAGGCGAAGTACTGAGTGCAGATGGCCGCCGCATTGGGCAAGGTCTTTCGGACAAGAGGCGAGGCTGCCAACCGTTGAAGCAGCAGGTGGACTCCTCTTTCGGAGTCAAAGGCCATCTTTGACCAAGACATGGCCAAGAGCCGAGCTGGACCACTCAGCCTTCCAAGAAGTCTTGCCGCACAATAGCGGCGCTTGTGCGCTGGCACCGACTGTACGTACCAAGCAACTTCTCGAGTAAACCTCCGCCACGTCCTGGCTGAGCCATCCCAGCTGGGCACGGATGAGTTGTCACCGTGCTCCGGCATGGCACTGGAAAAACTGTAGATCACAAAGAAAACGGAGAAAACTGTTCTCGCCGAACAGGCGGACGTGGATCGGGTAGTAGAGAAGCTTCAGCAGGAGGTCCAACGTCCTGATTCAGGAATCCAATCGTCACGATAAGGGTTCCCTGGAGCAAATCGCTCCGCTACCAATGCAGCGGGTGCTGCAAGGGTAGCGATGATTGGGCTCACAAAGCAAAGGGGATGCCACAATCGTCGATCATGAAGGAAGGGCCCAAAGCCCTGTCACGCCTTTTCACGAGCACAGCGCTCGATCCGTGGCACAGGTTATCAGGACTCGAAAAGGGGCCCCTTTAAGCCTATACATTGCAGGGCATTCGAATGTTGCTGACATCACTCCTCAAGCATACAAGTTGCAGATTCCTATTGTTTTTAATCGGAATCCTTCTAATTTCAAGAGGATTTCTATTAATTTAACAAGATTTCTATTTGCCTTCTTTTGTCGTAGCATTTCAATTCAATTTTAGTGGGGTTGGAATTGTTTTTTGAAATCGAACTTCTACTAATTTTAATTCAGTTCAATCAATTGTAGTAGGAGTTGAACTTAATTCGAAAAGGATTTCTATTATTTTAATACGAACCCCGTTAAACGTAATACAAATCTTATTAGAAGGAATAAAAACCTCACTCATATTATTAGAAATCTTTCAAAAGTAACAAAAAATCGAACCCGATTAGAATCAAAAGAAGTCCTATTAAAACTTTAATGAAAATCAAGTGAAACCCTATTAAGAATACTTTTATTAAAAGAAATAGAAATGCCACTAATAGAAGCTAGAAACCCTTGCTCCCGATTTAATAAAATTCCACATTTTGTATTTGTTAATTTCTATTAAAGTAAATCGAAATCTTAGGGGGGGGGGGGCTTCAATTGTTCAATTGACCAGGGGGGGGGGGGGCCCTAAATAGCCGGAATTATGGGGGGGGTGTTAGGAGAGTGCGGGTTCCCCTGCCACCCCCCTCTATACTACCCCCCCTAGCTTCCCCCCTGCCTAACCTTAATAACCTTAATTAGGCTTAATTATCTAAATAGCCGGAATTATGGGGGGAACCTAGGGGGGGTGTTAGGAGAGTGCGCAAAAAAGAGGCCTGCGGATATTCAAGGTACCCCCCCCCTCCCCCCCCCCTCTCCCCCCCCCCCCTCAATTCCACATTTCCTCTGCCATTTTTGGTAGGATTCCTATTGTTTTTGAATCGGAATCCTGTTAATTTCAAGAGGATTTCTATTAATTTAACAAGATTTCTATTTGCCTTCTTTTGTCGTAGCATTTCAATTCAATGTTAATGGGGTTGGAATTGTTTTTTGAAATCGAACTTCTACTAATTTTAAAAGCAGTTCAATCAATTGTACTAGGAGTTGAACTTAATTCGAAAAGGATTTCTACTATTTTAATACGAATCCCGTTAAACGTAATACACATCTTCTTAGAAGGAATAAAACCTCACTCAAATTATTAGAATCTTAGAAATCTTTCAAAGGTAACAAAAAATCTAACCCGATTAGAATCAAAAGAAGTCTTATTAAAACTTTAATTCAAATCAAGTGAAACCCGATTAAGAATACGTTTATTAAAAGAAATAGAAATGCCTCTAACAGAAGCTAGCAACCCTTGCTCCCGATTAAATAAAATTCCACATTTTGTATTTGTTAATTCTATTAAAGTAAATCGAAATCTTATTAAAATTGATAAAGGGGGGGGGGCTTCAATTGTTCAATTGACCGGGGGGGGCCGGGAGGGGGGGGGGGGGGGGGGGGGGGGGGGGGGGGGGGGGGGGGGGGGGGGGGGGGGGGGGGGGGGGGGGGGGGGGGGGGGGTGTGCAGCTTAAATAGGGTTTATTTGGAAGCTGGCACTCGTGTTCACAAGAGGAAAAAAGGCCCCAAAACGTATACTTATTTACAAGAGCCAACTTCCAAATAGACCCTATTTTAGGTCCTAGGGGGGGTCCCAGGCCTGAATTAAATATGAAGGCCCCGATTTAAATATGAATATTTAATTCTGGAGCTTCATATTTAAATTATTTAATTCGGGCCCGGGAATTAAATAATTTAAATAATTTAAATAATTTAAATAATTTAAATCCTGGAGGGGGGGGGGCGGGCCTCCTCCCGCAGGAGGAATTAAATAATTTAAATATGAAGGCCCCGAATTAAATATTAATATTTAATTCGGAGCCTTCATATTTAAATTATTTAATTCTTCCTGCGGGAGGAGGCCCGCCCCCCCCCTCCAGGATTTAAATTATTTAAATTATTTAAATTATTTAAATTATTTAATTCCCGGGCCCGATTTAAATAATTTAAATATGAAGGCCACGATTTAAATATGAATATTTAATTCGGGAGCTTCATATTTAAATTATTTAATTCGGGCCCGGGAATTAAATAATTTAAATAATTTAAATCCTGGAGGGGGGGGGGCGGGCCTCCTCCCGCAGGAAGAATTAAATAATTTAAATATGAAGGCCCCGAATTAAATATTAATATTTAATTCGGGGCCTTCATATTTAAATTATTTAATTCCTCCTGCGGGAGGAGGCCCGGCCCCCCCCCTCCAGGATTTAAAATATTTAAATTATTTAAATTATTTAAAATTAATTCCCGGGCCCGATTTAAATAATTTAAATATGAAGCTCCCGAATTAAATATTCATATTTAAATCGTGGCCTTCTTATTTAAATTATTTAAATCGGGCCCGGGAATTAAATAAATTAAATAAATTAAATAAATTAAATCATTTAAATAATTTAAATAATTTAAATATTTTAAATCCTGGAGGGGGGGGGGCCGGGCCTCCTCCCGCAGGAGGAATTAAATAATTTAAATATGAAGGCCCCGAATTAAATATTAATATTTAATTCGGAGCCTTCATATTTAAATTAGTAATTTTCTCCTGCGGGAGGAGGCCCGGCCCCCCCCCCTCCAAGATTTAAGTTTTTTAAGTTATTTAAATTATTTAATTCCCGGGCCCGATTTAAATAATTTAAATATGAAGGCCACGATTTAAATATGAATATTTAATTCGGGAGCTTCATATTTAAATTATTTAATTCGGGCCCGGGAATTAAATAATTTAAATAATTTAAATCCTGGAGGGGGGGGGACGGGCCTCCTCCCGCAGGAAGAATTAAATAATTTAAATATGAAGGCCCCGAATTAAATATGAATATTTAATTCGGGGCCTTCATATTTAAATTATTTAATTCCTCCTGCGGGAGGAGGCCCGGCCCCCCCCCCTCCAGGATTTAAATTATTTAAATTATTTAAGTTATTTAAATTATTTAATTCCCGGGCCCGATTTAAATAATTTAAATATGAAGCTCCCGAATTAAATATTCATATTTAAATCGTGGCCTTCATATTTAAATTATTTAAATCGGGCCCGGGAATTAAATAATTTAAATAATTTAAATCCGGGAGGGGGGGGGGCCGGGCCTCCTTTTGCAGGAGGAATTAAATAATTTAAATATGAAGGCCCCGAATTAAATATTCATATTTAAATCGAGGCCTTCATATTTAAATTATTTAATTCCTCCTGGGGGAGGAGGCCCGCCCCCCCCCCTCCAGGATTTACATTATTTAAATTATTTAAATTATTTAATTCCCGGGCCCGATTTAAATAATTTAAATATGAAGGCCACGATTTAAATATGAATATTTAATTCGGGAGCTTCATATTTAAATTATTTAAATCGGGCCCGGCCCACCGGGCCCCCTCCCTCTCCCAGAATTAAATAATTTAAATAATTTAAATCCTGAACACCCCTTTCGGATTGAAATTATTTAAATTATTTAATTCCGGGGGGGGGCCTGGTCGGGCCTGGCCCCCCCCCCGATTTAGTATCGGGGAATTGAAAGATTGATTTCATGTCAATGTCCAGGGGCCCGATTTGGCCAAATTTTGCCGGGCAGCCTCCGGTCAAAATTTGGCCAAATCGAGCCGCGCCTTTCTGAAGGCCCGAGATTATTTTAAACTATCGCGGCTCGATTTGGCCAAATTTTGCCGGGCAGCCTCCGGGCAAAATTTGGCCAAATCGGGCTGCCCTTCGTATGCCATGAGAAATGCGCGGCTCGATTTGGCCAAATTTTGCCCGGAGGCTGCCCGGCAAAATTTGGCCAAATCGGGCCCCTGGACATTGAAATGAAATCAATTTTTCAATTCCCCGATACCAAATCACGAGCCCGGGCCTCCCCCTCAACACTAAATTGCGAGCCCGGGCCTCCCCCCAATACTGAATTACGAGCACGGGCCTCCCCCCAATACTAAAGTACGAGCCGGGGAATTAAATAATTTAAATAATTTAAATGCCCGGACGCCCCCCCTGGGGTATTTACATTATTTAAATTATTTAATTCCTGACCCCCCAACCCCGACCCGCAAATGTTGTTCCTACCCTTTTCCGTTGTGTGTGGTATTTGCAGGACTTTTGCAGGGTGCCAAGGGGATCCCGGCAAATTTTGACCCGCAAATGTTGTTCCTACCCTTTTTCGTTTTGTGTGGTATTTGCAGGACTTTTCCAGGGTGCCAAGGGAATCCCGGCCAAATTGACCCGCAAATGGGGGTTGTTTCCTACACTTATTCCGCGCACTCCCGATGTGTGGCATGGGCAGGGCTTTTCGCAGGGTGCCAAGGGGATTCCCGGCAAATTTGACCCCGTAAATGTGTTCCTTACCCTTTGCGTGTGGCATTTGCAGGACTTTTGCAGGGTGCCAAGGGGATCCCGGCAAATTTTGACCCGCCAAATGTGGTTCTACCCTTGTAGTTTGTGTGTGGATTGCAGGACTTTGCAGGGTTTGCCAAGGGGAATCCGGCAAAATTTGACCGCAATTGTGTTACTACCCTTTTCCGAATTTTGTGTGGCATGTTGCAGGACTTTTGCAGGGTGCAAAGGGGATCACGGCAAATTTGACCCGCAAATGTTGTTCCTACCCTTTTCCGTTGTGTGTGGTATTTGCAGGACTTTTG